TGTTCAAATTTTTTAGTTTTTTTTTCAATTAATATCAATAAAAAATTTTCAGCGACCAGATCCAATTATTACTCGTTTTTTTTCGTTCGTATATTTTTGTATTTCATTACGTTTTTAATTTCTGCTTCAATAATTTGTTGAAATAATTATTCTTATTCTCATCTGTAATAAATACTTTTTAGCAACTGAATTTTACATTTCCAATATAATTTATTTTATTATTTTTTTTGTATACCTGAATTGTGATGTTGAGGTAATGTCATTAAATTCTATGTTTAAAATGTGATTACTAATTCAGTACTACTTGTTTGAGATTAAGTATTACAAAAACTTTTTAGACATTATGATTTATGGTATGTATTGTTCACATGCTATGAATATATATTTATTAAAAAGATTAAAAATATACTTTTTTATAACTTGGTTCTAGATTAATATTAAAAATAAAATAATATTAATTTCATAATAATTGTAGAGTAGGCCTCACTCATACTGATTATTGTTTATCGAATATGGTTACTTATGTATTATCTGTAGAAAATGTATATATTTTTAAACTATTAATATAACCTGAATACATTAAAATATATCAATTGTAAATTTAACACATACTTATACCACTGGTTTGGTACTAATTTATTACGAATAGTACAACAATTATTTATACAATTATATTATTGTATTGTACCTATAATATTAACATTCACATTTGATTATTGTGCACTTTTTCAGTTGCTTAGTTTTTATTATCTAAAGGGCTGGATTTGATAAAAAGGTTTTAAGGATACTTACACAGGCAGTAGATATTGTAGGAAAAACGAGTCAAAACATTTTGAAAATTGTATTAAGTATAGTAATTGATAAAAAAAAAGTATGGTCTAAATTTCAAATGTCTACAGTTGTTCGTTTTTGAATTACAACAAAATAAGGAAATCGTTACATGAGAAATCGAGTGAACATTCAATGTTGTATAAATATCAATTTCAAACACTCATTAAAACTTAATTTGAATATTAGGTAGACATTTATTTTTTGATAAAGGTAAAAACAATTGTAAGGAATCTTCTATTAAATTTTAAAATTTTAGATTTAAAAAGAAAATTTTTTTATGAATTTCTAAGTTAAAATAATTTTCAAAATATTAGTGATTTTTTCGAATTTTTTCAGAATTCTATCTTCAGGCGCTCATAAAAAAATATTGTGGTGATACGTTCAACATTCTTTTTAAATCTACTGTCCTATCCCGTGACAAAATCAAAGAAATTAAAAATGAAACGTTCGAATCATATCTGAGTGGAAGCTATATTTTATTTCTGGATAATACTCTGATTAACACTGCCGATTAACTATTGTTGGAAATCACAAGACACACGAAGATACCTCACATCCACCTGAGCACGCAAGGAATGAGAAAAATCCAAAGTATAAATTTGTTAAACATAAAGGTGTGTTATTACAAAACGCCATAGACTTAGAATTATTAACTACTAAGTACCTAGGTGGTTGTGGTGAGTGAATTGATTTCCCTCAGATATTTGAATTAGTAATTAAAAAAATAGCTGGGTCCTAAGCTCAATTTTAACCTCTCCAATTTTAAAAATGTAGTATAAATTATGCCAATAACTATATTATTATTCTCCATGTAGTTTGCCTTTCAAACTATTACCATTTAGATACAATTAGCCTGTTATTTGGATTTTACACTGTTAAAATGTTAAAATAATGTTACCTATCTATTGTCATTAAAATTATAACCTATACCAGGTTTTGCAATATAGGTAAATCATATTAAGTAGGTTACTCAAGGTACCATAAGCATAAAAAAAAATGCTGAACCCTGGTGTGGATTATAAAAATTGTAATGAAACATTTTTCAAAAATTGAAAATAGAGGTACACAGTTGTAGTCAAACTTATTTAAAAGGACGCTACATCAGCATGTGCTGCCTCCATCTTACAAATGTAATACATAACAAAAACTGATTCGGTCGGGGAAAGAACCTAGAAGGTTACAGTTACAACTTATAACTAAAAACCCAATTTTCACCATGATTAGAGGATAATTTTAACTGTGTTGTAGTTTTTATTTTTTTTTTGATCAGAATAATATATATAAAAAGTTATTTAAGTTTGAAAAACGTAAAAAATATCAGATTTTTAAAGTATTATAACTTTTCTCTTATTAATGACATCAAACAAAAAAGCTACAACACAGAAAATATTATCTTCTAGATGGTGTAAGCTTTTGGTGTCTCTACTAAGGGTACAGACTGAGTGGTTCTATCTAGATCAAAAACAGTTTTTGTTATGTTATACATTTGTAAATAGAAATAACACATATGGGTGCAGAGTCCTCTTCATATTTTGCATAAAATAAAAAATACTGTTTTAATTGCTACCTATTCGTATCAAATAAGTGTTACCAGCATTATTATGTAGTTTTGTTACTATACATCAACTACAACAGGACAACAGTAAGATTTTTAATTAAAAAAATTGAGTTTATGGATATGTATCAGTTCAAAATTGAGCTCTCAACAAGTCGCACGAAGTGTAATCCATAACAATAACATATTATCATCATTAATATTTTGTATTGTCATAACATAGTAATTAACAGAAAGATTATCTGCTTCAGAATATAAAATATAAATATGGATCACATTATTGAAAAAACCACAAAAAACATAGGTTTAAATTTTTGAAAAAAATAGTAAATGCGTGCTGTTTAAAATATTTATTTCAAAAACTTTATTATTGACTGTCTTATCTTATACAAAATATTATATCAGGTTTTGTATCTTTAAATATTTATATTTGATTTATTAACTCAATTCCCATAGATTTAAGACATACACATTATGACAGAAAAAGATCATACAAGATTTACAAGAATTGTTAGCAAAGCTAATATTTTATCAATGAATTCAGCACGTATTGTATAGCAATATTTAATTTTTTGTTTAAAAAAAAGGTCTGTTGTACACAGTTACATAAAATCCCCAATAATAATATTCATTAATAATACAATTATATAATAACATGTATATATAGTTAATCAAAATTAAACAATCAATATAACATTTTTTTCAGCAAAATCAATGTTTTATCGATTAATTTTGTTTAATGAGCCAGTTAGTTCATCAAATGTTGCAACCATTGCTATGAATAAAAAAAAACAATTTAACCAATTATTCTTCATAATATTATGCAATATTATCATTAGAACATAAATAGTTTAGATAAATAATTCAACACAAATTCAATACACTTAATAATCGTATATTATTCCTATTCATAGTAAAGTAAATTAACAATATCATTATGGTAGCATAAACAGAATGAGAATCAATTTATTTATGTACAGTTTTTTTAACCTAAATAAATGCTTAATTTTTTAGTATCTAGTAGGTATTTTTATAAAACTAAATAAAAAAAAAACATCATATATATTTTTATTTTATAACATCAATATCTTATTTAAATCAGATGAAAAAAAAATAAACAAATAAAATTTGTATTCAACAGTTTTTTCTGAAAAATAAATGGTTGTTTAAATATGTGTGTACAATGTAAATTTATAAATGATACATAAATAATATAATAATATGAGAAAATAATATCAAAGAAAAATATAAAGAATATCACTACATCCTATATTTTTTAATATATAATTGTTAACTTCATTTTTTTAAAAATTAGGACACATTTTATAATCATAAAAAAAGTAAATAAATAAAAAAACAAAAACTTAACGAAAATGTTATCAAATATGGAGTACTTAATATCAGTTTGGATTTTTGTTTACTTATTATGTACCCATTACTAATAGAATAAATAGTAATCTTTAAAGGAGATATTACAAAAAACAAAACAAAAATATTATGACAATTCTGTTTGGTTGTGCACACGGATTTTGACAATGTTTGCTCAAGTGTTATTGCAATATAGAAATACAGAATACAGATATTACACTACAATTGATTAACAATTATTACAAAAAGGTAGAAACATGGGATTTAACATTATTGCATCAGTACCATTCAAATTCATACAAAAAAGGATATATTAAGATAACACAATTCCATCACCGAAACAATTATGCAAATTAAAGTTAATATTCTTTTATTTGGACAGTTTATAACAGATCATTTAATTTTAATACACTTATATATTTACTTATTACTGGTTAGTACTTAGATAATTGATTGTTGGTGAGTATTACTTAATGTTTATAGTATTGGAGACATGAGACAAATAAAATTAGATCTTAACTTTAAATGTAATATATACCTGTGTATTTTACACAGGTGTAAACCAATATGTTTTCTAAGTATCTCGCTATTCGCATATATTTTTTTATCACCGACCCCTTATTTTAATACATGCTGGACTTCAATAACTGAAATACATGTATAATATAGGGACAAAATATCTGGAATTATTTAATATAATAACTAAGACAGTCATTGTAATTTCATTATTTATGTTGGATTACGGTTGTGGGGAAGGGTGCAATATTATAATATAAACATTTTTAAAGAATAATTCTATTGACTTTATATTTTTGAGCTTTAGAGAAGAAACGAGAACATTTCTAAATACTCTATATTATCACATAACTGACAAAAATCTAGAAACTTAGTCTTGTACACCACACAAATTTGAATTAAGCTCTTAACTTATAAATGTTTTCAGTTATAACCAATAAAACTTTAATAAAAAAAATATATATAAATATATATATTATCAAATTTATTAAAAAACTTGGAAAATTTGAGATTGACAATTTAAAAATTAAACATAATTGTATTAATAACAAAGGCATATAAAACTTGGAGTCTTTGTTTTATTAATTATGAGAATAATATTTAAAGACATATGAAAAACAAATATAATTATGAATAATGTACTAGTGATAAGTAATTATAAATTTTAATACATAACAATATTAATAAGTAAGGTCATCTGAATAAATATTTGGGAAATATTTTAACTATTGGAATTAAAAAATGCTTTGATTAAATTTTTAATAATTAAAATGCTATACTTATACAAGGTAATTTTTATTTTAATATTGTAAATATTTACATTCTGAAAACCGAACTAAATCAGTTTAACAAGACAACTAAACCTTAAGGATGCATAAATGTATCTTTTTTTAAATTGTTTATAAATTATTATTACTTTATATACTTAATTCCCATGAGCTAATTCTTATCGAAAATAATATGATAAGAACAATATGCAAAATGTTCAGAATATTAATGAGAAATTGTTTGATTTGTATTTATGGTTACTATCTATTATGAGTAGTGATTAACCTTAAAACTTTAAAAATACATAACAGATGTTTAAAAATTACCTTATAAGTACACATGATTATCTTTAGGGTGGGGGTAAAATCTATGTACATTTTGGTTAAATTTATGATTTATAAATTTTATTATATATGAGTTTTTTAAATTTATTGTAATAAATAAATAATTAATTTTAATCTTATTTATACTTTGCTTTTGTGTAATTAGGGTTTTTATGGTCAATGAGTGTGAACAATTAAATAAGCTAATAATTAGTATTGATGTTTGTCAATACTTTAGCTTTAAAAGGACCAACTTATACATATATATAACAATATAATTAGGACTGAGGGTTTGAAAAATAAAAATAAAACAAATAAAATATAGACGACAAAAAATAAGTCAATTAAGAAAAATAATAATTTATCAGCTATGCATTTCGTAAATTTGTGAAAAACCTGATCGAAATTTAGTTTGTGTTACATTTTATGATAATATTTTTAGTATCAACTTTGAGCTTTATTATCGAATAAGACACGTAACACAAAGTTTTGAAGGGCCAATGCAATCGTCATGACAAAACGCTCCACATTTCTTACATACTACCATAGCGTTAAGACTACACGAACAATCATTTGTTTGCTGTGACTGACCATAGGTAGATACTTGTATACCTACACTTGCTGGTCTTCCGCCATTTAAAATTGGAGCTATTTTGTTATTGGTCGGAGGAGCACTCGAGGATCGGCGTATACCTGTTATTCCACCAGACCTCTGAACCAACAGGTACTGTCCCATTTGTTTTTCGGTTAGTTGTTGTTGCTATAAAATTATAACGAAAACAGCTTTAATAAATAACATATTTCATAAAATAACTTTCTTAACAATTGGAAAATATATTATTTTTTTTGTAATTAAAAAATGAAAATACTGTATTAATTGGTTGTTAATTGATTCTAAAATTCTAAATATTACTGAAGACAAATATGATTATAGATGACTAGATGTAACTATCAAAAAACTTAAACCTTTTATATAGCTGAATAAAAATCTTTTGAATTATAATTAAAATACACAAATATTAAGAATTGATGCCACTGAGACTTATTTTTTGGCTACATTCAATAATTATTGAATAGGAGTAATAAGGTAATTAACATGTTTATTTTTTATTTCTTACATCAGATGTATACGGTGGTCCAACAGACATTGTTACTGGAATGCCACGAGAAGATGCAAATACATGTCTAACGACCAGGGGTTGTGAACTGCTGGTGATATTTATGTTCCTTATTGGTTTTGGTCCATTTCGTAAGCTAATATAAAGTTATAAAACCAGTTCTCAATAATTTAATATTTTTTCATAAAATATTGTTTTACTTACATAGAACTTTTGCCAACTAATACTGCTGGTGGTGGTTTCAGTTGACACCTAAGTTGATTACGATTAGGGCTATTTTGTATAACAGCTTGACATATTTGGTAACTTCTTTCTAAATTAATAGCACCTGGTGGTTGCTGCTTCATTGATGTTCTACCCAGTGTTCTACTAGATCCACCGCTACTTGAGCTCACCTTAAAAACACAAAACAATAAAGGTTTTTGGTTCAATAAGATTTATGTTTCAACAATACTGAAGATAAGTTGTAAAAATCTTACTTGTGATTTGATCGATGACACATAAGTATGGTGAACTGGACGATCAGAAGGAGCTGATGATATATTAGATATTGTGTTGATAAATGAAAAATCATTAGGGATATTAGATTCTAGAGGAGATTGAAGTAACGGAGATATTGATAAAGATGGAGTACTAGGTAGTGGTGAACTGTTAGAAGAAGTAATAACAAGAGGCTGAATAACACTAGGCATTCGAACAACCACAGGTGGAGAAATGTTTTTTGGAAGTTCTTGAATAATATTCATATTCATATTATTATCATTTGGCTCGATTGGTAGAATTTGATTAGTTGTTGAGTTTACATCTTCTATTTTTGGAGTTAAAGTAACTGAAAATACATTTTCACACATAAAAAAATTTATTTATATATATATATAAATACATAAACTTAATGAATTTAATTTAAATATACCTTCCAACTCCAATTGGACTTCACTTTCACTTTGTTCTTTTTCTTTTGAAGTAGAAACGCAATCATATTCTGGAATTAATGTACCCAGATCATCATTCATTAACGAAGACCAGTTTTTAATCACTGATGTTTCATCCAAATTAACATCATCAATTTTATCAACATCACCAATAAATTCATCTTTCATTGGAATATCTATTACAATGTCTTCATCCTGTATGGACAAACAAATTAAGTTTTATAAAATTATTAAAATTATACAATTTATATTCTTAAAAACATAAAATAATATTGCACAACGTTTTTTTAAGACTAATTCTAGGTTGCATAAAAAAATTTATTAATTTTATGGTTCACTAAAATTTAATAATCATAGGCCTCTAAATCATGATGCATTCAATTTAGTTACTGATTACTCATGCAATACACGGCAATAGACATTTTTTTCAAAAAAGAGTTTCTTATAAGTATAACTTCATATTAATCAATGTATATAATTTAAAAAAAATTTAATTAATATAAATAATGTGAAAATAAAATGATTGCCAATCTTGGACCAGAAAAAAAATTGAGTCATCAGTCATTATTTTATTTAATTTTAATTTCATTACATTAAAAGTTTCATGACATTTTAATAAAAAATACCATATTCTTTTCATATTTTGTAGTTTCTTTTTACGATTGTTATGGCATGTTTAATATTTTCACACTTATATCAAAATTATAAATTATCAAGCTAAAACTATAATATTTGCAAGTATTTACTTTTGTCAAAACCAAATCCTCCATAAATGGTTTTATAGTAGAATCAGTCGTAGAATCAACAGAATCCCATGGTAATTCTAATTTGTTATCTTCAATTTTAATATCAATATCATCAGATGAAGAACATGTGGTTGGTATGGTTGTTGTTGCAGTAGTTGCTGTTGTTGTAGTAATTGTAGTTGTCGTTGTTGTCGCCTCTTTTGTTGTTGCTGTTATGGTATTTATTGGTACATTCTTACTAACTGTAATAACAGGTGGTGTGTTGACTGGAACAGTGATAGTTTCAGTTTTCTTATGCTTAGGATTACGCCAGTCCGAAACAGCAGCATTTGAATTTGATAGTCTATTTTCACCCCAGATAGGTTCAAAATACTTTAACTGAAATTAAAAATCCATTATGTTAAAACATATTCAATTATTTGAATAAGTAACATTCATTTTTACATATATATGTTTCCTCAATTTTTATTCTTCTAAAACTAAAGAATTCATAAAATTCTAACACAATTTATACGTAATGTGTTCAACAGATTCCTACAAGAGAACATGATAATTGATAAAACAAAAATGATGTGCGTTCTTCACCAAGTTCCTGAATGATCTCCAGTGATAGTTGGTCTCAACTAGTTAGTAAGGTACAAGAACAATCTGCCTAATAGAATGGAACAAAGTAAACTGGTACAACAATAATAATAATTCCTTTCAAGCACAACTAGGGTCTAGTTTATACATGCAAATTTTTAATTAATAAGATGCCAATATGTTTTTAAAAAAACTATGAATACTTTCAATTTTCTTAATAATGAGAAAAATACGATTTTTATGCAAATACTATCAATTAACAACAAAATATCACGCTTTTATGTATTCAAATAATGTAAACATTTTTTTTTAAACTAATTATTCAATGCACATTTTGTGTGACCAACTTAAAACAAAATCCAAAATGAATAAGTGATAACAAAATTTGTAAAGGTTCATTAATCGAAAAGGAATAATAATGATGGGGAAAAAATTGGCATTTTTTAATCATAATTTACAAAATATTCCAATGTATGCAAAAAATGGTTTTTCCTATTTAACCAATAGTCCTAATTCTTTACTCCCATTGAATTTCATGCACTCAATAAGAATGACATACAAAGGTAAATATATAATAACTTATAATAATATATATAATGTATTCTCAAATAAAATTATTTAACAACTTACCTTAAATGGATCTAGTTTGCTTTTTTCACGATCAATATCCATTTTCATTTTTTGCTGATTTTCAGGTGTAAACTCCCCTTCTGATAGTCTATCAGTCCATTCAAGACAAGCTTGAGCAAAGAACTCGTTATTTAAAACAGATGGGTTTAATAATGGCCTATAAAATCACAAGATTAATTATTATTAAATATATTTAGGCATGAGTTATAATATTTAACTTGAGTATACAAACCGAAAATCAGATTGAGTATCATTTAAATTTTCTCGATCAACATGTGGTAACATTTGAATAAGTTTATGTTGATAGAGTCGTGGGAGCATTGAAAAAGTTTGCTTATTCAAAAGTGATCTTAAATTAACTTGTGCAAGAACAGAATCTGGCGTCTCTAAATCAACACAACCTTCAGCCTTTGCTTGTTGCAATTGAGCAGCAGCTGACAATCGTTTTGATCCTGGACGTTTACGTGGTTTTACCAAGCTAAATCCTGGAATAGATGATAACACTTCTATCATAGTAGGTACTCTAGATTCATCTTCAATGGCTGTAAAAACACAATTAAAAGTATTAAAAATAATGTTTTAGACGATAATTTAAAGATTATAAATGTAAAATTAACATAAAATATATTAAACAAACACTTCAATAAGTACTAGCTCTAAAAATACATTTTTATTTATCAATTTTAGATGTTTGAATTACGGCAAGGATAAACAAAATAAAATAAATTTATTATAGTTAATAAATACAGAATTGTTTTTTTAATACTATATAGTTAGCTCCAAAAATGTTTATGAAATTCACCAACGACTTAACTCGCAATTGCAACATTTTATAAATTAATAAGTTAAATAGATGAATAAAACTTGTTAAAGAAAATTATTATTGTACGTACGATGAATATTTTAACAAATAATTGTAATTAATAAAAAAATAACAAATTATAATAGTGTTTGTAGTAAGTTTGTCGCCAATAGCTTTTAGCATATTATACACAAATTTGAAATAATAATGACAAAAAAACCATTTTAGTTTTTGATTAAATTAATTCAAATTTTAGAGTAATTACGTCTCGAAAAAAATATAAAATACTAGTAAGTAGGGATAAAATATTTCATATTTTTGCTATAATTATTTAATGTAATATTATTTATAACAATTCATAATTAATACATAATTTAAAAAAAAATAACTTTAGAAAATTAAGTACATATATAAATATATACTTAAAGTTGATAGTATAAATTATTTTAATTAGGTTTGTGAAATTAAAAATCTATTATAACAAAAAAAAGTAATGAACTTATACCTTTTAAGAGCAAATTTATAGATTTATACATATTTACAAGCTTATACTTTTAACTCTATTCTTAGCCCAAATATGACAAACATTTTTTGATAACTTTTAATAGATATTTAAAAAACTGTAACTCAAAGAGAAAATTATTATTAACTATTTTTTATTTATCTACCAACATGAACAATTTTAAAAATGTGTTTTGAAAACAAACTGTCTCCATAACTTTTGAAATTGGCTGCTATACTAGAATACCTAAAATTACTATGGGCAAAACTTATTTAAAAAAGTTTTATAGGACTTTTTAGAGCCCTACAGTTTTATTTTAAAACCACATAAATACAACAAAGATACCGAAGTACAAATTAGAATATTTGAAGTTTTGAAAGTCATTTATTAGGAATAAAATTCAATTCATAACTGACTGTTACTAAGTAGATAAAGTATTTATTTAAGATAGCTATCAATATGATGTGATCATTGAGTGCTCTTGATTAGTGAATCTAATTGTATTATTGAACATAGTACAGGATCAAAGATGCTGATAATCTATATGCATTAACAGCAAAGTGCATTTAAACTACAAGTACTAAGAGCATAACAAGACAATATTGAGATAAGAATTTGAGAAACCAAAGCTAAATTGATTCATGAGATAATTTAATTTAAATTTAAATTTGTTAATTGCTTCAGCAACTTGGGCTATTGGCTACAGGAATCTTAGCTTAATTAAATCTATTGAGGAATCATTTTACAATATTAATAGGTATAATGAAACTATCAAACAAAAGTTTGGTCTGTCATACGTTTGTTAAATAGAGACAACAAACACACAGGTTTGTATTCCATAACATCAAACTATGGTAATGCAAAATTCTTGTTTAAAAAGTACTACATTGATTTATACAGTAATCCCTCGTTATCCGCTGAGGTTAGGTTCCAGCAAAGTTGCGCAGATATCGAAACCGCGGATAACGAGACCATAAAGCAATGTAAAACGGGAAGTAAGGTTTTATTTACACACAATTTTTAATTTTTACTATTTTATACATATTTTGTATTTAATTTTAAAAATCACAAAAAGGTTAATGTTTTACAATTATTTGATTATTTATTTTTTTAGTAAAATATATTAATTATTTATACATACATAATATATATTAGGAAGGATGAAAAAAAATTGTATATTATCTACATATTAAGGTAAGTACTTTATGTAGCTTATCTGTTATAAGTATGGGTATAATAAAGATACAATTTCATCGTATGTATTAAAGAAAATGTTATCGCCGACCCGACCGCGGATAATCGAAACCGCGGATTAAAAATACACGGACAACGAGGGATTACTGTATTTATTTTTATCTATTAACGCCAAACGGCAGTTTAACACGAATTGGTGAGTATATAATATTATAGTATGGACATGAAATAAAGCATATTATCAGTTATCTGTATTTTCTAATATCTAAATTAAACAGTGTAAGTACAAATTTATATTAAAATGATGTTATACTTGCAGATGTCAACTGTCTTGCATACGTTTAGTATATCAAATTTTTCCTAGTTTATTTTAGATAATATTAGAAAAATTAACATATTCAAATAAAAATTTGAGAAAAAAGTCTGCTCAAGAGCTTGCATTTCTTTCAATAAATTTGATAATATGTAATTCTTCTCTATACTCTATTTAGGATAAGAATGCCCAAATTCATACATGGATACTGATTACTGAGCCTTTGGCAGTTATCTCTATTTTATGGTAATGGTATGAATTATCATTTGCTTACTTTAACTCATGAACTAAGATATACAGGACTAGACACTGTTGGGTGGGCGGGTATGAGGGGTACGGTCAGTAAATGTTACGCCGCTCCTTTAAGTGGATCTGGCGAGATCTATGAGAATAACTTAGCAATCTAATTAAAACACAATTTGCATGCTATAAATACATATTTCAAAAATAAAACATAAATATGTTTATTTTAACAAATTATAACATATTACATTACAATGCGCATGCGACAGTATTCGGTATTTCAAAATAGAGAGCAAAACAAATAAAGTTCAAAAAAAATTTTTATTACTCGGTAATATTTTTAGTTTAAATATGTAATATATAAATACAGTATGATAAATATTTTAAATAATTTTCGCACCTTTTTTTATTTGCAGTTTATATATTTTATAACCAATTAACAAATGGTTAAAATTTAAAAGTTAAAACATCTAAAACACTATATCAAAAATACATAGTATATTAAGGAATAATATTATTCTTTATACTATGCACTAGATGTTAAGGATGTGCGTCGTTACTCGTTACTTAGTATTACTTAGTAATAACATTAATAAACTAATTTGTCACCAGATAGCGTAGGTTCCACTTAAAGGAGTAATGCGTAACATTGTCTGACCGGCTGATAAGGCTCTGTGTCCAGTCCTGTATATCTTAGTTCATGCTTTAACTAAGATAATTGCCAGAAGCTCAATTATCAGTATTCAAGTGCATTTTAAAGTAGGGTGTAGCATAGAGATGCTTAAAAAATGCACCATGTTCTTCATAGAACAGAGAATTTTATTATATTTGAAAGAAGAAAAAATGACGACCTATACAAGCTATATGGAAAAAACAAAATATATTATTATACATAAGAACCAAGAGAAAAGAATTGTTTGGACATATATAGAGCCAAAGATGATAAACTAAAAATAGTTCTCGATGATACCATACACAAGAAGAAAACACCATTTAGGTCGACCACAAATGACACAAAGATGCTGTAGAGAAAGGCATTTGGATGGTGAATAGAAATGTACAAGTTGACCTGGCATTCGACAGGAAAACATGGAGAGGATGGCTTGTGGCATTTTAGGTTAAAATTAGGAACAAAATCCCTAATTAGTATTAACATCACTTTAATTTATGATCTTTTTAATACCCAGCTGTCATTATCATTATTATAATTAAACTATAAGTTGAATAATATGATACTTACTGTTTATCTGATTGGAGGGGAGTATAATTCTTGGAAGAGGAGCTACATTTCCAGCAGCAATAGTAGTGTTTTTGCGCCTTCGTTTAGCCTGTTGTCGTAAAGCATGTTTCATTACTGTTTTGGAACCTGAACTCTTAGCACTAGAAGCTCCTCTAGTTACTTTTGAAATACTCCAAACATTATCATTTTCATTGGTTATCTTATCATTTTCTGAAAAAAATAAGTTTAAAGTTTAAAATAATAATAAGCAACTTCATTGGTCCTTTTAAATTACCTAAATTAAATTATTGAACAGCAACCATAAGCTACATTAATTCTTAAGGAGATTCGATACCGTCATTTTCTGTTTTTGTCAAACATACGCGTGACATAGTAATTTAGACGTGTTTTTTGCCAAACATACTAATTGATCTAATGAAGCGATAATAAATCTGAAAACAGATTTGAATTTGTCGTTAAGTCTACTTAAAATCGAATTTCCCACATTTTTGATATTATCCCCCAAATTCCTAAAAATGTCATTAAAAAAGAGCATTTAAAAATTTGTGTATTTCACAGGGAGAAGTTAAGATCAAAAAATCATAAATGTGGGAAAGTCGATTTCAAGTAGACTTGACGACAAATTCAAATCTGTTTTTAGAATTCTTATCGCTTCATTAGATCAATTGGTATATTTGGAAAAAAACACGTCTAAATTACTATGTCACGCGTGTGTTAGACAAAAATAGAAAATGACGGTATCGAATCCTCTTAATAAGTGACGCCTAGTTTTTATTTCATACCTTTAAGTTTTTGAAGTTTAACAGGAGTTAATGATGTGTTGGAATTGCCAGAAGAAAGAATTGTCCTTTTTCTGTCCTCCATTTTATTTATTTCATACTATGTCATATACCTAAAACAACAAATATTAATATATTATTCAGTCAATACAAGCTGTTTTTCTTAAATTTATAAGGACATTAAAATGTATTACAGCAATAAATTATAATTTTTATAGATGATTATTTCAACAGTGAATACTTGTTACTTAAAGATTGTTTGTTTGTTTCATAATTTTGTTACAAATTATTTTCATAATTGAGTTACAAATTATGAAGTCAATGAAATAATAAGTTTTAGAAAAATTAAAATGTTATATACTCAGAACAAAGCAATAAATCCGTTGATCTTACAATTATATATTTATTTTTGTCTTTAGTCACCTTCTGGAACATTAAAACTGCTCAAATTAATTTTGAGGATGGTTTCTGGTAGCAAATTTAATTTACCTAGTTAGGTTCTTTTAAATAAAAACATTTTTATAAGCATATAAATTCAAATTTAAGCATTTTCGTTACAAAAATTTTAAAAAAAATGTTACGCTTTAAGAAATGTAATTTTATTTATGAGTGTATGAAGAACAAATTTTAATAAAATGGATATTGAAACATATATTAATGGTTTTGTTTCAAAGAATTTGTTTTTACTTTTGTTGTAGGTAATTCAAAAAATATTGGGTAATTAAAGATTTTTAACGTAGGTATACATTATTTTTTATACACAATGAATTTTAAAAATATTTAGACTTATTCTAGGCTATTTATTCTACAATCCTATTCACATCATTTTAGGGTACATTGGTATTAACTTGTAAGTTCATAACAATAATAGGTATATGATATAATATAAATGTCCTCAAAAATAAAGTGACATACTGCAGTTTCCATCCAAAATCAATCTTTTACCCATACAATAATTTATCATTGAATTCAACATTAACCTACTTAAATTAACTTACTCAAATAAAGACAAAGTGAACTTAAAACATACTTTACAGTAGAGTGACTTCTCAGGATTTGTATAGATTAATATCTATAATATAATTATTTTACATAGATAACTGAAACAATTTTTTTTATCAATATTAACTCCGTACTTAGCAGTTCAAGAATATTATAATACCTATCACATATTAGAATAGTTGGGTAATAATAACTTCAACAAGCCAAAAAAAACCTAGGTAACAAACAACTATGAATGGCAATGTTAAAAACCAAAGCAAAATCGTCTATTTCAATTTTTTTATTTTTTATTTTTAAACTGTAAAAAAATGTCAAGAGTTATTTTAATTTTTAGTTATTATAGGTGTTGATTGTTTTGCAATAAACCATACACATATATGTACATAATTGAAGGTTTTTGGTAGATATATTTTGAATAAGAATTTAATTTAATTTAGCATAATGTATGCATGTAATATTAGAAAGGGATAAGAACCGATGGAATATATATATTTTTTACATCACTAAAATTGTTCAATGTCCAAGGAGAATAAGTCTTTTAGGTACTTGTGGCAGATGAAGTGTTGGACAAAATAAGGCTGTTATAAATGTTTACCAATTATCTACCTATTTGTTCATTTTTGAATATTACCATTAAAATTGAAAAAAACAAATGGACATTATTCCATAACTTCATACATTTTAAATTTTAAATAATATAAAAATCTAATAAAAACTAATAAAACTTAAACGACAGCCACAACATAAGGTATTTAGTATGTACGTTGATTTATTAGAATATTTTAATTTTTTAAGCAAGTTATTATCAAATGTAATAATATTTACATACATTATAAGATATAATAAGAAACCAACATTGATTATCATTTTGCTTAATACTTATTATATTGGTATCTAATTTTTACGTGATAAGAACAATCAATGAAGTATTATTAATCATATTGAGGGTCATCATAACATGTTCTAAAAAAAAAAAATATGTACCTATGTGAGATACTTAAAAAATAATGTCCTAAAACAATTATGCATGGATAGAAAAGTTTTCTAGTAGAAGTAATGGTGCAAAACTATCTTTGGGTATTTACATTATTTAGGTATCAATCAGCTGTTCTTCAATTTATTTATTGAAATTAGTTAAATTTTGATTTATACCTACTATATAAATTAAGTGAATTAAATTTTATAGCTAAAAATGTAATGTTGGTTAGCTTAAATAGCATACTTTTATCAGCATAAGTGGTTGTCGGTAATAGATATTATTCAATAGCTATGGTCTGTCTAATATAACATATCTTATGAAGTATGAATACACTCGACTCGGTAGGTTCCAAAAATTGATTTAACTAATAATTATAAGTGTGTAGTCAAAATTAAATAATCAAATTAAATCACCTTACAAAACAATTATAATGCAAAAAAAAGGAAATAGGGAAATTTATTGAAGAAATTTAAAAAGAGATTGTTGTTTTTTGAGTTGTAACATATATTGGTAACTTAGTATCTTACCGCTAACAATATCTCTTTGTAGGGGCTAACTTGTCATATGCACTCTAACCTCGCAAATACAACAATAGTATTTATACCAAATTATTTGATTTATCAACTCCTGATAATATGCTTTCAAGGTTTTTTTTTTACAATAATATAACAGTATGTTATTATAAATATAATAAACTATTACAGGTATCTTATTGAAATGTGGTGGAGAGTATTCAAAAAAAGAGACACGTATGAAGCTTTTTTAAGGGATATGGCATTAGTATTTCAATGTTTTGTTTACAAACAATATTTTTTCTAATTATTAATTATATTTTAAAAGAATTCAATTTAAAATCATATATAGTTAAGTGATAAAGACAACAACCACAGTGTCTTTAGTAATATAATAATTTCGAATAAAAAGTATATAATCTATTTATAAAAATGTTTAATTACATACTAGATACTCAATTATAATAACTTAGAGTATAATAATTATGGTGGTCATTAAAATCACTTTTATATCATCAATTCCTTATGAGAATTTAGTGTCTGAATATTGCTGTAGAGTGGAAAAAACTATATAGTGCATACACTACAGTCGCAATGTTACTGGTAGAGCGTACCCTCGAGCGCACCTGACAAGATTGCCTTTTATCCGCAGAATAAGAATATACTCGGGTAGAAAACTATAACAGCAGTGCATGTAGGTCGGGCTTATGACTAACTATATGTTAATAAGTAATAACTATGACAAGGTTGAGGTATGGAACTAGTCAGCTGACGGTGCAACGTGGTACATTCATATTCTGCAGCGAGAATTGAATAATAATTTAATTGAATATTAAGTTTTTCTTTTACCATTGGTTCATAGCAAATTAAGACACTATAATAAAAATATAATGAAATAAATAAGTAAAAAAAAAAATACACATATGAAAGTATGAAACAATATTGTAGAATCAAATCCGCCCAAAACAAAAATAAAAATGTAATACAGCTAAGACTAAAAACTGTTGATTTACACAACATCATACATACTTTTTTAATTGTAAACTGTGATAATGATTTTCATAATTATATTAGGTATATTCAAATTCAGCAAAAGTTAGAAAAAAATATTATTGATTTCATTTATAATTATTATCAAAAGATGGTGTAAAGACGGATTGAAAATAATTTGTATATTTTTTAACTGTCACTTTGATTTATTTTAAACGTCAACAAAATATACAAGTTATTTATTAATTATTATTATTATTATTATTTATTGAATAAATATAGGCTTCTCCCAAAGTACAGTAGTTGGTAGTACCATAAAGATAAATAATACTCGATAGCAACTAAAATGTTAAATGAGCATATTGATAAATGTTTAGAATATTTTAAAGAAGTTAACTTAATGTCAATATACAATTCAGAGTTAAATAGAAAATATAACAATCTAACTAACCATATCAGTTGGTCAACAGCAGGCACATTAATTTATATTTGTACTCAAAACATATTCTTAGAGAAATGAGAAGTTCTGAAAATCAAAGCGTTTAGTGGGTATCATCGTTTTCATCATGCCCAAATGATGTACAATACTTAATAATAATACTTACACTTTTTTTTAATTTAATTTTTTTCCCACAGTCTATAACAATCTATCAGTTAAGTAAGCTCAATTTTTGAAACAATAGATGTTAGTAATGTTGATGTGAATGGATGGACCAAAGAATCATACTTTTGGATGAATAGTTGGATAGTTATCATAATTATTTGAAGAAATGTTTAGTTTATTAATATCATAATTTTGTCTTAATCACATACGTAATCAAATGCATACAATAAGATTTTAAAATGTGACCCATCTCATTAGGTTTTACTTTCAGATTTCATCAGATTTCATTAAAAAAATCATTAACTCTTAAATATTAGCAGTCTGCTTGAACCTATGAATTTAGCATAGGTACTTACATTAATTAGGATACAAAATAGGTTTTTATTATAATAGTTAATTAGGCAATAACATACTATTTGGTATTAATAGTAAATTCGGCAGTAATAAATATTTTGGGCTCCTATACTTAATTAACCTGAAATAATATACCTATAAGGTAGAAACTAATAAAATAATCATACAAACAATTACTCTTCAATAACATATTATTTAACAAATTTAATAGAGGTAGCCAAATGTTTAAATTTGGTACTTCCAAGTTTTGAGCCTTGGTATATTATTAGTATTTAATTGAGAACTTAATTGAAATTGAAAATTATTATTTTAGCCATCGCTTTTAATTTGAATAACAACTAGATCAATATCACAATGCTTAAAAATACAAAATAAATGCCATCATTTAAACATGGATACTCTACAAAATATGTAAGTAATACAAGCAAACATGTAAGTATGTACGAACAAGAAACAATAGAAAGGCTAACAATAATTAAATTGATTGAACATTGACTAAAATAAAAAAATAATAATAAAATGTAAAGTATCGAAAATTATAAAACCATATACCTAGATACGTCAAAATCAGATACACCACAGTCGACACACGAGTACACTAGACAACAACCAGCTACCTAATCAGGACCACAAAGTAGCATAACAAACAACCAGATGTTACACAGTACGTAGCAGATTAATATTATACAAGAGTACTAAATGTAGATACAATATTGGTATGGATACTGACCTATTTCTAAGGGAAGTTCCACAGTAATGATGAATCGCACGTACCCGTAGGGGAATAAAAAAAACGTAGCCGGACAAGTATCGTCAGTGGCACGAGCACTTGTTGAGGTGAGCGGCAGACACAATTCTTAGACGGAACGTCTTTAACTAAGGTGCTCTGGCGACAACTGGCTTCCAGATGGATAGCAGTGGATGCAGCGACCTCCAAATGTCCGGCCAAGCGAACGGACAACAAGCGACGTTGGTGGTAGGACCGTCGTCATACGTATTCTTGGTAGCGGTGGTGGCGGTGTTCGTCGTCGTTTTCTTCTTCTTCGTCGTCGTCGTCGTCGTCGTCGTCTTCTTGTTGTTGGCGCCGGGTCCGTCGTTTACGCATTTCGTCGAGAACCGTTTTTCGAACGCTGAACGCCGTGCGAGCAGAACAATAACAATCGCATATTACTGTCACCGGGCCGTGTCGTGATGAGACAAGATCGACGGAGCGAACGACAAAACGTAAAAGCAGATGATCACACGAGAACGAGAGAACTGAGAAAAAAAAACCAATTACTATTTATTGATTATAATATTATGTATGTCGATCGACCGACGCCGTACCAACTACGTGCGCGCGTATTTCATGTACGTTATCGTTAACGGACGCGTTGCCGTCTCGTCTCCTCCTCGTCGAACTACGACGCGTATAACGTAATATCAACTAATTAATACTACAATATTACAAGAACGCTGTCCGCGGTGCGTGCGTGCGAGCGAGTTCACTGTGCGCGAATAATATTATACTAATATATTTTATTATTATTTAAATAATAATAATAATAATATAATACAATACGATATTAGACGTTGTTGGAAGTGAAAAAAAAAATAATAATAATATTATCTACGCGAGTTATCAGCGAACGGGCCAGTAGTCACAGACGAAACGCGGCGGCGGCGGCGGTGAGAACGTCGTCGTCGTCGCTGCGTACAATACAACCACTACGGATGCGGGTGCCGTCACGGTGGGGGTAATCGTCCGTGTTGCCGCCGCGCCATCGGTGTTTGTGTGTTATTATTATTATTATTATTGTGAAATTACGCCGTAGACGTGTGCGCAGCGCTCGACGTTACGACGGCGGTGGCGATGATAATAATAATATTATTATTGTATACTGTTGCGTGCGAAACCTGCGACTGCGGCGATAGCGACCGAAACGATCCGAGCGGAGTCGGTTGGCGTTTCTTTTTCTTCTTATTATTTTTATTACCTACCTACCTATACGGCTGTAATGCCATACGGCATACACGTTATTATATACATCCACATCAATGCATTATACCGTATCGTTATATTATACCTTTGACTCGGCTTTTACTCGCATTTCGTTTTATTCATTTTATTATTATTATCATTTCTCCCCGTTCCCCATCCGTAACGTTTGCTTGCATACGCGCACTGCGCACTGTCGCCGTTCACATAGAAAATAATAATAATAATAGTATTGCCGCTATCCACTCGGCGTGGTGACAAAAACCTACTGCCGCCAGCCAGACGCGCCGTGAGCCCGTGACCTCCCCCAGTCCTCCTCCTCATCGGCCACCCACCGCCGCTACGAGGAGGATTCGCGAGAAAACGTCGACGGATCGCATCGCGCTCAACCCACTCCCCGCGGCCGACACCCCAACCACTATCGCCGCCGTTCGGTCGGACTCGGACCATCTGACTTTACCGTACCTACCTACTATCGTTGCACTGCCGAGGAGAAAATATTAAGCGTACGCAGTACAACCGTCAAACACCCGAGTCCAGAGTCCATAATTTATCGTTGTTATTTGTTAAAATGCAATACAGAGCCACACGAAAGATCAAAAGATTCCTATTATCATAATAATATTGTTTAGACAATCGATACAGACGCTACGCCGCCGTTGAGTGAAGCACAATATTTATATAATTATTGTGCTAGGTGTCATCAGAAACGGCTGAGGTCGCGTCCTGAATTGATATCACGCATAATAATGTATAATCCTAATCTCTTTTCTGTGGTATAAATGTATTATAATCATTAAACAAAACGCTAACGTAAATCCAACTCTCCTCGTATAATATACCAACTCAATTAAACTGAATATCGATCGTTCGAATTATTAAACTTCAACGCCTAGCTGGCTGGCTCTCTAGCATAACCCAATTTTATTCGTATATGTAGGCCTTTGAATGTAGCTTGGATTTTATAGATAGAGAAGTATAGAATATAAGTATAATTGTTGTTAGTATGTATTTTATGATGGTAGATGGTAGGAAGCTATCAAATAGTAATTCTACATCTGCTGTCATCTTATCCGAACAACAATTACCTACCATAAACTGATCGATGAGTGTTCTTTTTTACATTTTTCAAATATTTATAACTTTTTAATTACAATTTTAAGTAGTTTGGGATTTATTTAATAGGTACTACTTGGCCTGATAGCCACATAGGCTAAAGTTAAATTTATTGTACATTATGTACATGCAATATTCATAATTATATTATGAACAATGAACATTAAATAAAATGAAATAAGCAAGTAATTACTCTTTACTGGTTAGATATAATAGTATAATACTACCCAATGTTAAGTAGGTTTATATTATGTAAGATAAAAACTCAAAGGTCATATCATTATTTGACTAAACTAGGCAATTATACTTACATACATGCATGAATATAATAAGATTGAAAATGATTAAAATGTGTAGTGTAATTTTTTTAAGGCATTTTTTTATTATAATTTATTGGTACTATATATTGTACTAATTAATAATGAACTAATTATATATTATAATTTTAACCTAATCATTATTCATTAATCATTACTAATTATTAATTAATAACATGTAAAGCAATGTTGTATCATAATGTGTTAATAAGTATCATAGTTCATAATAATAAATAATAATATATTATTCATTATTCACATACTACTTTTAAGTTCAATAATATTATACTTGGGTCAACAATAAATATTAAATGTGATAGATACCTACATATGCACAATTGAGTGGGGGCTGGTGGGGCTAAACCAATCCCAAAATTTACTATTAGTTCGCCTGAAAAAAAATGTATGTACTTATTTTTTTTAACTCGCAATATGTATATTAGTCTGACATGAATAAAAACAAATTTGAATTTACTCCGAAAAAAATTAAAAAATTACTTTTCAAAATATTTGTTTTCACTTCTTATTAAATCACTTATGTTAAGAAAAGTTATGGATACATTTTAAGCAATTGGGTGGATACCGTGGGCCACACCAGTCACAAGGACAAGAGTACAAGATTTTTAAAAACTGATTCACATTTCTTATGAGCTTTAGATAATATAAATATAGTGCTGCATCAGATTACATCAAAATGCTGCTGTCATTATTCCTTTCAGATCATAATATTGTTTAAGGGTTTACAAAATATAGAGTTACAATTGAATTATTAAATTATTAAATTGATTTTTTAAAGAACTTTTGATGTTAAATTATATACTTATGTTAACTAGTTTGTTGTAATTCCCCAAGTTGTCAATACATTTAAAATTTAAAATAAAACATATCTAGTAGGTATTTATTTAAAAAATTAAATACAGTTAGTATTTACGGATTCTTTGGTCTTAAACAAAATAAATTGTATAATATATATACTAAAAAAGCGGGTATGTGGATCTCGCTCTGCTGTACATTAGATGTCTAGAAGGTCTCTGTAATGGATGGTATTAAATTTTAAACCAATGATATTACAATATCATTGTATATACGAAAAACTATTCTGAGCGGAGACGGTATGTCAGTCTAGGATAGTTTATAATGTTATTACTTATTATTAATATGACAGCCGGCGCCCGACAAGTTGAATTAGTAGGTACTATTGATAATATTATTCTTAAATAATCAGTGATGCTCGAAAAATATTGCATACACTTATGTAAAATTGGGCTGCTTTGGAACCGAATCACAACAAAATGATTAAAATCATTAATCTTTGTGTTAATTCGTAATTTCGTCTAAATTTGAACTTAAAATAACTATAAAAAAAACCGGGTGTCTTTTTAGATTTGTTGGTTGCAGAATAAGCTACTACGTAGAACCTTGTTTTAAATTTACATTTCTTAGCTATAAAAGTTAAACATAAACATGTAACTACAAAATCATTTTTCAATTTTCAATTTGAGAAATTTTGTCAACATTTGAACATCAAATGATTATAAAACAAAAACCTGCCAATATATTTTTAATATTTTTCGACTGTATTGTAAAAATATATCGGAGCATTGTATTAAATTTTCACGATTTTTGTAACAACATATAACATTTTATTGACAATTAAACAAAAAAAATTTAAGAAACTGAAAATTTAAAATGTCTGTAAACAGTTCAAAACGAGTCAAAATATGTTGTACATTTTATCAAGTATATGAATTATTAAATAAATATATGGGGTAAATCTTAAGTATCTATAGTAATAAGTTTTTGAATTAAAACAAAAACAGAAAGTCGTTACATCAGAAATCTAGTGAATAACCTATGTTATAAACAATTTAAGTTCAAACGCTCATAAAAATTTAATTTGACTTTCTGATAGAATTTTCTTTTATAAAGAGAGGGTTAACTTATAAAGTTATAAGAAATCTTTTATTATATTTTAAAATCTCATGTGTGAAAAGAAAATTTTTTATGAATTTCTAACTTAAAACAATTTGGACATTTAGGTGAATTTTACGTTTTTTGTCGAAATTTTAAATTTAGACTCCCATAAAAAATTATTGTGGACTTATGATCAACTTTTTTGTGATTTCCACTAATAACATCTTATGAGGAACGTTGTATTATATTTTCTGTTGTTATGTTTCTTTTAAGTTTTCTGACCTAGCTAACATTTTTTATAGAAAATTTTTTCAAGCTTATAAATAGTTTTATATGAGTCAAAATATTTTGATAATTGTATGGTGTATATAGAAAATGCTAACACAGACATTCAGTGAAAATTTCATGTACCTACGGTCATTTTTTTTAGAGTTACAATAAAAATCGAAATCGATTTTTTCGAAAACTAGCTTTGCCTAAAAATTCCCGTTTTCTTTAATTTTTTGTTTATTTTTCTTGTCGTTTATGGAATCTATTGGGAATTCGAAATTTTGACCTCCCGAATTCACCAACTAGATTCACCTTCCAACCAGAAAAGTTGGTCTTGAAGAATATCGAAGCACCTTTACTGCCTCAAACCGCAATGACAGATACAAAAATAAAAATAATAAAAACACACTTCATTGTAAAATCAATACATACAAGGTTAATCATAAGTTGTTACTACAGAAATTGAAAAAATTACACTAATACTTTTATGAGCGTCTGAAGTTTAAAATTTGATGAAATTGGATATTTTATTTATGCACAAAATAACTATTATTTCTCATTAAACAATGTCATTGAACTATATTTGGTGATATAGGCTGATCGACCGCCTTTTTAGTTTTTTTTTCGTATGAAATGGATTATCATTGAATTCAAATTTAACACATCTATTACGCTGTGACCTTCTCAATTCCGTTCGCTCGATTCCTACAGGCTACTGTACAGCAGAACGGTAATTTACTTCTCCACTTTTTAAATTTATTAACAAAACTTCATAATTTTTATTGCAAACATCAATTAATAAATGCATTTTTATTAACTTCCACGTTTAAACATTTACAATTTTTAATTATTTATCATTTTTAAACATAATATTATTTATTATATTAAATAGGTAATAAAAACGTAGTTTGTCAGTAAGTGTACTACACTTTTAATCTGACACTAAAAAAAAACTTTTAAAATCAACTTTTGGCCTACGTACTGCCTACGTACCATTATTCAAATGTATGGCAGTAACTTTGAAATATGTAATTATATTTAAGTACAATATTTCATACACTGAATCTTGTCCCCTTAAAA